AAAGTAGGGCTGGGCGCAGCAGCTCTAGCCTATATTCCAGCACTTTGGATGGCCAAGGAGAGCGGAACACAAGATCAGGAGCTCGAGACCAGCCTGGCCAACATGGTGAAACCCCATCCTCTACTAAAAATACAAAAAAATTAGTCGGGCATGTTGGCGCATGTCTGTAATTCCAGCTACTTAGGGGGCTGAGGCAGAAGAATCTCTTGACCCTAGGAGGTGGAGGTTGGAGCGAGCCGAGATCCTATCACTGCACTCCATCCTGGGCGACAGAGACTCTATTTCAAAAAAAAAAAAAAGCGGGGGGGGGGGGCAAAAAGTAGCTAAATTTCAAGCTATTGATAGACTATGGAAAGTTTATAATGGCCTCCTCCAAATCCAAACATGGTAATTGCTCCAATAGGAAAAGATGTTAAATGTTTCTTAGAACTTACGGTTTGCTTTACCCCATGTATTTCACTTATCAGCAGTATGAAAGTCTGGCTCTGGCTTGATGGTGAAACAATCTAGACAGGGGTTTAATATTGGCAGGGAACAAACTCTCCTAAATAAACTCTTCTTCCCAATTTAAATGCCAGAAGATTTGGAGTGCCTAAAGTTATGAACGGCTTATCAAAAACTGTCAATCTGTCCTTAGTCTATGACATTTTTGTTTTATATCCATTTTCAGCATCGCCAGAGAACACTGTCCTGTAGGATTTGAGTTTCACCAAAACTTAAGTGAAGTCAGCTAAACATCTAAGAACAATAAATCATTTTAGGATGGTTGACACACACACTCCTTGAATTTCTACAGAGCTAACCGTCTAGCCTTTAACAATTTAGAAACTCACAAACCAGGCCGGGCGCAGTGGCTCAAGCCTGATATCCCAGCACTTTGGGAGGCCGAGGCGGATGGATCACGAGGTCAAGAGATCGAGACCATCCTGGTCAACACGGTGAAACCCCATCTCTCCTAAAAATACAAAACATTAGCTGGGCATGGTGGCGCGTGCCTGTAATCCCAGCTACTCAGGAGGCTGAGGTTGCGGTGAGCCGAGATGGCGCCATTGCACTCCAGCCTGGGTAACATGAGTGAAACTCCGTCTCAAAAAAAAGAAACTCATAAACCATCACTTGTTCCTGCCAACTTTCTAATTCCTCTGGTACCATTCAGACAGAGAAGTAATCTCTTCCAATCACAAATAAAATCTTTTTTTTTTTTTTTTTTTTTTTTTTTTTTTT